TGGGGGCCTTCATGGGCCACCTGGGCCCCTCGGGTGCCTCAGCTCTGCCATGGGCACTGGGAAGGCTCCCGGATCACACGTGGGCGGGGCTGGGCAGTGGCCACCGTCCCTTTCCTGGAAGACCCTGAGGTTGGAATTTAGTAGCTGGAGCTCACAGGGTCAGGTTCTGTGGCCAGGCTGGAAAGCAGCTCACGTGTGAGCACAGCTTGCTGCGGCCTCCAGCTCCTCACGTGATCCTCTGGCCTTGGCCTCTCAAGCGATCGGAATTACAGGTGTGAGCCACTGCGTCGGCCAGTCGTTTTCCACTTCAAAAACGCACAGGGCTTTCTCAGCCAGCAGCTGTGGGACAAGCTGTAGCCTGGGCCAGCCCTGGCCTGGGGTACGTGGGTCACAGAGGGGCCTGCGCAGGCGGGGGCCTCCGCCATGTCGGGGCCTGTGCGCCACTTGGTCACCCTAGTCCTGACCCCTCTCCACGAAGCAGGGTGGGTCTCCCAGGCCGCCTGCTCCAGGGAAGAGACTGGTTCCTCCTGGCCTCCGTCACAGCACCGAGCCAGTGCGGCGTGTCGCCTTGTTGGGCAGAAAGACCCACGGTACCAACGGACCGGGACGCGGTGCGGGGCTCAGGCCCACCTCGCGTTGACACCTGTGGGGCGGCTTGACCCTGACGCGGCTTCCAGAGCGTTTGGAAGCTGTTGGGTCTTGTGTTGTGACTGGTGGAGGGGGCCTCTCGGGGTCGCTTTCTCGGGGACGCTGGCGCCTGCTCCCGACACCCCTCCCCCATCTCCCCAGCAGGGGTCCACCCTGCCCACAAAGGGGACACTTGCCGAACATGGGCCCGGCAGCCTGCAGCCCAGGGCAAGGAGCAGTCGGGGCTCGAGGACATGGGTTTGGGCTCACCGTGTGCGCCCATGGCCCGGCGTGGCTGGGACGGGTTGCCTGCCGCTGCCTCTGGTCCTCGGAGCGGGGGTCGGTGTACGGGCATGTGGCGGGGATGCCAGGAAATGCCGTCGTGTCCTGTAAGGCGTGCCCTTGGGTCAGGAGACAAAGTCCCGGCTGCACGGCAGGTCCGGGCCCTGGGTGTGTGTGTGTGGCTCGGCCGCCCAAGCCGTGCAGAGTCATGCGGTGCTTGGCGGACACGGAAGCACAGGTCGCCGTTGGTCGGGGGGGTGGCTCGGCATGTGTATCTTGGCTTGTGTTGCAGAGTGGGATGAGGTGGCGTCCACCTGAGCTGGCAAGTTTTTATGCCCCCACCCGTCCGCCCACACGTCCGCCCACCCGTCCGTCTACTCACTCACCCGTCACGCCTCGTCCGCCCACCTACGCATCCGTCCTTTCTCCCCCCGTCTGTCCACCCACCCACCTATTTGCACGTCCTCTTACCCACCCATTCTTCATCCATCGGTCTGTCCGCTCGCCCAGCCGTCCATCCACCACCCATCCGTCTGTCCGTT